TTCAGGGCCTCACACATTTGCCAGGCAGGCCCCTTAGTATGTGAGCTATATCTCCAGTTCTTTTTTGTTTCATTTAGTCTTCAGGCAAGGTGTTGCTTTACTCTCAAGCTTCAGATATCAATCCCCCGACTCGTGCCGCTCATGGAGCTGGGATGAGAGGCCCAGGGCACCACGGCCAATTTTTAGCGTTGAAATAGGGTCTCCCTGATTTTTTTTCTCCAACCTGGCCTTGACACATAATCTTCTCATCTTTAACCTCCCTAGTAGCTGGGATTACAAGTGGGAGCTAATATACTCAACTATGCAAACTTTTAAATCCTCAAATATGTTTTCACTTTTGTTGTTTTCAATACTTAATGTCCAAATAGGTCTTCGATGCACTAGCTCATCCTGGAAAGCCTACTTGATGGGCTATGCCATGCTTATAAGGCTTCCAACAACAGCACAAGAGAAGTCACTGGGCGTGAAATTTAGGAGAGGGAAGAAGAGGCACACTCCACTGAATGGGTACCACTGCCTCCCTCATCCCTGCATCTTGGAATGCTTCTAATTCCAAATAGACACTGATGCAGGAGACTCTGAGGCCCATGAGTGGGTCCCTCAATTTCAAACCCCACAGGCTCCCAGGACAGCCTACAATGGAGCAGGCAACCCAGCCAGCACTGGGCCAAGGTCTAATGGCTGTGCTCTTGCACCACCTGGTGGCTGTTTAATTTCAGGTCAGTGTTATCTGTCAATGAAGCCAGACAGTACCTAGATCTCCTTAGAACTAGGTCTGCAGCATTTCAAATGAGCATGGGGGATGTGTGATCAGTTGAAGCATGGAGGAGGCAGCCAATCCTGAGATCAAGCTCCCAAGACAAGAAAGCTCTCACTGCATGTGCAAGGCGCTCCCCAGCATGAACCACACAGCAGCCTCTGCATGTCTGAAACCCTCTACCCAGTCCCAGAAAGGGAACCTTGGGCTTAATAACTGACTTCAAATGCTACACTTGATGGTCCCGTGCAGACATTTCCTACAGATCACTCAAGGGTCTGGAAGTCTAGGTAGCTAAAATTTATGCATTTGGGGGATTACAAACATTTTTCTTTGTAGTGGAATTTGCAAGTACAGGAATCCGTGAGTCATGAGGACTGACTGCATATCTCAAACACTTCTGAATTTAACATTCTCCATTATCTTTCCCTCCCTCCCACAGCCAAATCTATTTGTTTATCTCCTTTGTGAACTGCCCCTGCCTTGGGGAGAGATGCTCACTTCCACTTTGAGCAAATCCAAAAGCTACCTGTGGCTTTTCTAATGTGTGCTCCCAGAGAAGAAGCGGAAAGGAGCATGAGCTAAGTGCTCCTGAGAGTGAGGAGGCCCATCGGCTAACTACTCCCCGAAATGAGAAGGAACATTGACTAGGTGCTCCTCAGAGTGAGAAAGACCATCGGCTAAGTACTCCCTGGAACAGGAAGGATCGTAGACTAGGTGCTCCCTGGGTTGAGAAGGAACATGGGCTAGGTTCTCTCTGGAGGTGGACCATCAGCTAAGTATCCCCTGGAGTGAAGAGGACCACTGGCCAAGTGCTCCCTGGAGTGAGGACCATCAGCCAAGTACTCCCTAGGCCCAGGCCCTATGCTGGCCACTAGTCCACAATCTCACAAGGTCTCCAATGATCCTAAACTCACAAAGTTGTTGCCAGTTTCACAGCTGAAGAAAGCGAAGGGCACACAGGTTGAGGACAGACCACTGGCCCATGGGCCAGAAGGGAGACAGCTAAAATTTCAATCTAGATCCACTGGACTCCCAAGCCTGCTTGGAGGCAAAACAACATCATGCAAATCTCAAAAGGAATCTCTAATCTCAAACCAGGACAGTGATTGGAAACAGGCAAGGTTATCTTGCTTGGTGAACAGAGAATCAGGCAGAACTCTACGTACAATTCCAGGGTGTCCCCGGCCTGCCCTGAGCCAGCTGACAGTGTTTCTGCCACATGGCCTGTAGGTAGCAGAGTGAGCACATGAGTTTGCTCCTAGTACTTATAAAAGTTTGCCTGGCTGAGTGTGTAAAAGTGAAAACAGCTTTCTAAAGTTATTGGCTTGCTGCCCTATAAATCATTAATCAACAGTCCTTCCAGTTTCTCAACTGTCTGATGCAAGATCTTGGCCTTGGGGAAGTTCTAAAACTAAAAGCTAAAAGAACATCATGAATATCTAAACTAACTATCTAAACTGAAAGAGTATCATATATAGTAATAATAATTTTAAAAAGAAAACCCTATGTCTCCTGTTGGTTATTGTCCGTTTGAGTTCTACTTTTTTTCCAAAATAACTTTACAAGTTGTTGCAGGAAAGTGTGTGTTGGGGGGGGGGGGGGGAAGAGAGAATTAGTCCTACAAATTCTACCCCTCCCATCTCCACCCCCTGGAAGTACTGGTTGTAAACTCAGAGCCTCATCTTTGCTTGCAAGCTACCACTCAGGCCATGCCCCCTGCTAGCTGAGCCACACCATTACCACTTGAGCCACACCCACAACATTAGAGGTTCAAATTATTCTACAGGCCAGAAAACCAGACCAAGTCGATGTCCAATGCAACACTACATCACTCTTCATTCAGCACTCATGAGACAGGGCACCCTCCTGGCATAGAAAACAGAGACAGAGATGTCCCAACACCCTAAGTGAGTCATCTGATATAGACGGAGCCACACTGACTCATGGTAGAAGCTGGTGATTTTATACAAGGACCAAGTCTGGAAATAAAAAGAGCTATCTACCCACTCCCTAGCCCCTTCCCATTTACAAGCCTAGGCCTGTTCGATCTTCACACCCTCCTTTCCCTATGACTCTGCTCTCTGCTGCCAATCATGAAGGACTAGAGCAGAAATACAATCAGCCCTGAAAATGGCAGACATTTTTGACATAGTTCGTGAGAAATCAAAGCAGTGCCAGAAGGAGGACAGTGGACCTACAGCAGCACAGAGGAACCCAAAGGCCACCCATGCACCAGAAGAGGGCAGCAAAATCACTTTGGAGTGGTTCTGAAATACACAAGCCTTGAACTCTCTCTGGAAATTTGACTTGAAGAATATGGATTATGCAAACTTCCAGGGAATTTAGACATGCCTTGCTCAGGACACAAAAGTAAACTTAGAAGGCAGGGGAGTGAAGTCCCTTCTTCACCAGGCTGAATGTCTGGGAAAGAGCTCTGTCAGGTGAGCAAGAACAGCTTGGTCATCATCACAAATCTGCACCTGTCCTGTCAGTCATGACCCTATTCACCAGCATTTTTTAACTTCAATTCAACTAAACAGTCAAATGGAACTCCCAGGTCAAAATTCAGGATATGATAGAACAAAAATGATGTCAGAGTATCATTGTAGGGCAAGCCAAAAAGCTGTGTATGTCGTCAAAAAAAAAAATCCCTTATTAGGAAAGACATTGAGACTAACACTGCAAACTTAATTCTTAACTAAAGAGGTACTAAGGAGAGGATTTTAAGATAGTTTGACCATGGAATTACTAGATGTTTATTGGAAGCAACTGAGCCCTATGGAAAGCTTTGAAAATATTTATCATAAAAATGAGTTTTATAAAGTCATCCTAATAATGTGATCAGGGTTATGTGTGCATAAATAATGGGTGCAGTACTGTAATTGCAGATGAGTAGGTGGTTTCAAAACACTGAGTCAGAAAAAATAAAAAAAGCTTAAGGACAGCACACAGCCCCAGGACTGCTACAAAAAAAAAAAAAAGTTAAGGATTCTATTCAAAGAGAGAGGCAAAAGAATTGAATAAAGCTAAAATTTCAAAAACTTGATGAAAACTATGAACACACAGATCTAAGTACACAGCATGTGTGTGGGTCAGGTTGGGGCAAAGGAAAAGACACCAAAAGTGATCATAATCAAGCCCCTCAGGGATTCTGAGGGCAGCAGAAAATAGCAACAGGAGAACAGCATATTTCTCATCAAAAGCAAGTGAGAAGACAGTAGGGCAACATTTTCAGGGGAGGGGAGGGAGAGGGGAGGCAGGGATTCAAATTAGAATCTTATGTGCAGAGAAAGTAACTTTCAAGTTTAGTTAACTTTCAAGAGAAAAGATAAAGAAACTCTCAGAAACAAAAGCTGACAGAGCACCATAAGAAATTTAGGGAAAATCAGAACAGTTAGAAATGGAGACAGACATAAATAAAGGAAGACTTCTCAGACATGCCAACTACATGTGTAAGTGCATGGAACTTTTTCTTATGATTTAAGCCTTTTCAAAAGACAGTGGTTTAAAGTAAACTATAGGGCGGAATTTGTACTTTATATATAAAATTTATACTTTGTGTATGTATACATATGTAAGGATATACATATATAGTTTATGTATATAGTTTATGTACATATACATGAAGTAAAAAGTCTGATAAATTATAAAGTACAGAAGACAAGAAGTAGAGGCACATTCCTGTAAAGTTTTTATAACATGCATAAAGTGGTGTTATTGAGGGGAAAAAAAGAGGCTGTTCTGGACACTTTAGATTCAGATTCACAGACTGAAAAAAACAAATAATCAACAACAACAAAAATGCCCAAAGGATAACAAGCATATTGGTGTCTTCAGCAAGACAAAGCTCTCAGGAAAACATAAATTGTACAAATCTTGTGATGTGTTACATACATTCCAGGACTTGACGTGTGTAAGTTATTCAGTCCCACACCAAATCGTAAGACGCATCCAGAACTGTCTCCATCCCTCAGCCCCATCTGAAGGAGCAGGTCTGAGGAAAGCCACATGTGTTCCAGACTGATTATTCTTGGCTACACTTAATCACCACCGAGTAAACAAATGCAGCACTCACTCACACTTGTGCAACTTATTCCATCCCCTGCAGCCAGAAGAAACTGTCACGTGATGCTATTTAACATCTGGAAATGTGGAAGCGATTTTACAGAGCACACAAGGACCACACGCTTGTGGCAGCGGCTGAGGTCACCCGGGGAGTGGAAGGAGAGAACTCACTTACAATGAAGCCAAGTTTCTTGTAATCCCGGGTGTACATGGACTTGCGTTTCTCCACGCTGCTGCTGCTATTATTAGGTTCAGTCTCCGCATCAAAAGCAATTCTTCGAAGTTCAAATATGATGTCTCTTTGAGCCTAGATTGAGGGAGGGAGAGGAATCTGCTGTCATTGTGCAAAGTGACATCAATTCTCTTTTTCTTCACCCCCAGAGTCCAAATGAATCATGCTTTAGAGTAAAAGAAAACCAGATAAAAGTCAAGCCATGTTCTAAATGAGAGCTGAGCACACTTTGCCCTTTGCCCCTCCCCCGGCTTCTCAAGCTTGGCATCTCTCCAGTGACCCCAGCTGCCATCTCATGTGGAATATTGGTAACCAGTTCCAGAGGCCTGGCCTAGATGAGTTCCTAATTGGGAAGGGAGGAAGTGAGGGGCGTAGGCTGAGGTAGAGTCTGGGAGGGCCCACTGCTACCTACAAAGCAAGAGGCTCACAAGGCCCGTGAGCAGTTCTGCAGTCGCAATGGATCTTTTACTCCACTAATCAAGGACACATCATCAAAACTAACAGGAAACCAAAATAAAAGGAAGATCCCAAAGAAGAACCAACCCCTGTGCCCTTCCTTGTCCATCCATAGTAAATGGATGAGCACATGACATTCACATACAGCAGGAACAGAATTCCATAGTGCCGGTGGCTCAGGCCTGTAATCTTAGCTACTCACGAGGCTGAGATCTGAGGATAGCAGTTCAAAGCCAGCTCAGGTAGGAAAGTCCATGAGACTCTTATCTCCAGCTGACCACCAAAAAAGCCAGAAGTGGAGCTGAGGCTCAAGTGATAGGGTGCTAGCCTTGAGCACAAAACGTCAGGGACAGCACACAAAAACTGACCACAAGGACAAACCTTAAAGGTACTAGGTGGAGTGAAATAAGGCAGATAATAGGTGACAAGTGTTGCCTAGAATACTTCTGTGTAGCCACACCACAGCAACAGGAAGCGAAATGGAGCAAGCTGGCCAGGGGTTGCAGGATAGCTCAAATGGAGTTATTGTTTAGGGGACCCAGAAATTCAGTTTTGCCTGATGATACCTGGTAATGTTTTCATAACAATGTGAATATACTCAGTGCCAGTGAGCTTCCACTTTAAAATTACTCCCTTATTCACCAAACAAAAAACCACATGCATGTTCAGGGCCTAATGGAAGCCTTTATTTATTGCTAGCACTGGGGCTCAAACTCAAATCCCCATGCTCTTACTTTGCTTTTTCACTCAAGGCTTCCATTCTATACTCGAGCTATTCCACTTCCAGGTTTTTGCTAGTTAATAGAAGGTATGAGTCTCACAGATTTTCCTGCCTGGCTAGCTTTGAACCAGGACCTTCAGATCTCAGCTTCCTATCTAGGATAGCAATTGTTAGCCATCAGCACCTAGCTATGATCAATTGGTTTTATTATCTATAGGTATTCACCTATATTGAGAAGCCATATCCCCAAGCCCTAAGAAAGTAATACAATACTTATAGGATCCTCACAAACTCCAGGATTCAGAGTAGCTAGCAGAAAGATGGCTGGTGGCATTGCACTTTCTGTTTGTCACATGTTACTGCTGTTACATGCACACCTACCTGATCCTGGGGGTCCATTTTGGTCATCATCCTGTCTTCCAGGAGGTTGAAGGTGAGCACTTGGGAGAACATATAATTGGTGGGCCATCTCGTTGTTGATGGCCCGCTGGGCACGGATGACATGCTGCAGGAATACTTTGTTAAAATACTTACCAAAAAAAGAAAGGGAAGACCACAAACTAAACATCATCAACAGGCCCAAGTGGAGGCTGGGCAGTCTGCATCTAGATGCAACCAGGAATGAAGCCTGGTGGCTTATCCTTCAGAAGGAAAGCCAACATACATGTGAGCTCAGAGCTCTCCCTGATGACTCAGAGGCAGGAAAAGACCTACTGTATGCAGAAGAGGAAACAGAGGGTGGGGAGGCTCTTAAAGGAAAGGGTCGGGCCCTGGCTCCCCCAGGTCACAGAGGGGCAAATGGTGTCACCACCATCATAGTCCCCTACCCACGCATCCAACTTCCAAGAACTAAAGCAACCTTGTTCCCACCCTACAGAAGCAAACTCAGTGCAGGAACACTGCCAAGAAGCCAACACCATCATGGCACAGGGAGCTACCTCTGTCTCAGTGCTTGAATCTCCAGCTCACAACTCCGTGAAAAGTAAACTGCTTTCCCTCAGAAAAACTAGGGCAGCACCATGGTGCTAGGTATTAGAAGTTGTGGAGTTCTGATTCCTTTCCTTGCAAAGCTAAACCGTATGTGTAGAAAACCACCACGGGAAGGCGGGCTCCAGCCCAGAGGCCCAATCATGTCATTTTTACTCCTATTCTAGGTCCACTATGAAGGACGCTTCCTGTGGGACAGAAATGTTGATTCTAACTCTCAGAGCCCACCATCTTCCCTCCTTCCTAGCCCTACCCTTCACCAAACAGTGGAGAACAAAGTGCAGATCAGTCACAGAAGGGACACTAAAGTTGCACCAGGCCCTTCCTCCCCAGTTAGGTACTCACTGTTAGAATGATGGAACGCAGCTGCTTCTGAGCCAAAATATTTGCCATTTCCTGGGGAAGAAAAACACCCCACACAAAGGCTTTGGTTAGAAAGACAGGCATGCTTTTCCACACAACCAAGTGCCATTCTTCCCGTGTGCTTCAGGGCCTGGATATCAGCAGTATTTCTTAGAAAACTGTGGCCTTGGAAGGCACTAGTATTCCATGATAAGGCTGGATATTCCATTTGGATTATAAAAGCTAAGTACAAAGGCATATATATATATGAATACATATACATACATATATGTATGGAATTTTTTTCCTTCTAGAAAAATCACTCTCCAGAAACTAATGGTTTTCCACTCAAAAAGTGCATCAGAGGCTGGGCACCAGTGGCTCATACCTGTAATTCTGGCCAGCCAATCAGATGTCTTAGACCTGAGAATCTGGTTCAAAGCCAGCCCCAGGAGACTGGAATTATCTCCAATTAACCAGCAAAAAGAAGAAGTGGGGGTGTGGTTCAAGTGGTAAAGAGCGAGCTTTGAGCTGTTGAGTGGGTAGAGGAAGGACCCTGTACCCGCTTTTCTTAGATTGTATGAAGATGACCAGACAACACACACCCACAGCAAGGACATCCTGATGTTGGAGAACCATCACCCTAAAATCCCTAACTCACCTAAAAGCAAGTTCATCTACCTGCGTGCAGAACCAAGGGCAAATGGAATACACCCCAGAGCTGGATCACCAAGCTATGCAAATGAACCACATGGGGTTTCAGATGGACAAATATCTGGCCAGATGTGATGCTGTGGAATTCTCCCTTGGCTTCTGCATGATATAAGTTGTGCTCCAGCCTCTCCTGTCCTCAGCAGAGTACTTGAGGATGGTTTTATGAAATGAAATGATTCACAGGCCCTCTTTGGAAGGAATAAGGGAGAAATTTCATAGTCAAGCCACATCCTTGGGACACACTAAGAAAAAGTCAAAATACTGCTCATATGCAGGAAGACACTAGAATGCCAATCTGTGCTGGGGATTTTTTTTTTTCGGTGCTACTAGTTGTATTGAATAGAGAAGAAACTAAGCTACAATGAAAAACAACAACAGAACCATGATATCTACTAAGGTGCAAATAAATGTACAGAAAGCCAGGGGAGCGAAGAACATGAGGAAAGGAACTTGAGGGGATGCAGGGGGTACAGGCAGGATGGATGAGGGCAGACTGAGACAGCAGGGTCCACAGAGGGAACATGGGTGACTTACAGTCAGAGGACACTCAAGGATGTCAACATTGTTGTCCACATCAACCTAACGGCGCCAATGCCACCACAGAAAGTAGAGCAAGCAAGAGAGAAGAAGGGATGGAAATTCAGAGCTCTTGGCAACTTTGATGCAATGCCCTGCCAACCCACTGCCTAGGGAGGCCTGTGAACACCTTTTACAGTTATATGGGAACAGAAGACATAGAAATGGAAATCCATGATCAGGTCATCTTCCTGCCCTCAAAAGCAAGAAAGCAAAGGCAACCACATCTTGAGACACAAGCTGAAGGCAAGCCCAGAAAACACCATCGGCCATCTCTACTACATGATTCTTCCCCAGCTAAATACAGTAGCTCTTGGGTGAGGAATGATCTGGCTTGGTTAGGTTTGATTTTTTTTTGGAGCAGGTAACACACAAAAGACCGAAAGGACCTCTATACATATATCTCCAATACTGCTTTTTATAAACATTGTATTCCTTTTGCAAATGAAAAGTGCAGCCCAATAGTCACCAAAAAAAGAAAATTAAAAATATGCTTTGTGCTCCTATTTCAGCTATAGGTTAATATGATTTTATAACATTGAAATGATAGAAATGTAGATATAATTACAGATAGACATAGACAGCCACAAGATAGTCGCCAATAGTTAGAAGGCTATTTCCTGTCCAACAGCTACTAGTCATTGACTATCTACTTACAAAAAAAATATATACATATACATATACATGCATAAGACTGTGTGTTCTTGGGGGCACAGTGGACTCCATGTGCTTCTTTGTATCCCAAGTTCCAGGCATGATATTCAGCAAACAGAAGATGACAATAAATATTTCATTAAGGAACAACTGAATATTTGATAGTACTCTCCTAAGTAACAGAAGCTAGAACAGAGAGAAAACAGAAGTATCTTTGTGAACATGAGAGATATCTGTCTTAGGGAATAGTTTGAGTAAACATGAGAGTCCATGGGGAGATTTTCATAGCACTGAAATGACAGAAACATATAAATATATAGATAGATACACCAATACGGAATGATGTCTACAACATAGTTTTAATCTTAACAGCAGTTTTCTATAAAGACAGTACATGTAGTATGCCGAGTGTTGGTTAAAAATACAAACAAAGCTCTGGGCTGGGGGAGTGGCTCCATTGGTAGAAAGTGAACATCATTGAACAAAAGCATTAGATATCAAGTTCGAGTCCTGGTCTCGGACCAAAAACAAAACAAAAGACACAACTAGGCAAATATTTGCATAGAACAAAGCAGGATGACCCACAGCCATGGAAAGTACATGGGTACTATGAAATTGTAGCAAGTCTCTCTTTGGGAAGGTAATGAAAGAAGCTTTCACACTTCTTTCCTTTTGGTCTTTCTTTTTTTAACTTTTTTTTAAACTAACTCTTTTAAGTAAAAATATAATTAAATTTTAGGAACTACAAATACAGCCCAATGCCTGTGCTCACGGCTATAACCCAAGCTATTTAGAAGTCTGAAATATGAGAATCATAATATAAAATCAGCCTGAGTAGAAAAATCCCACTGACTTTTTTTTTTGGGGGGGGGGGGGGTCCGGTCATGGGGCCTGAACTCTGGGCCTGGGCGCTGTCCCTCAGCTCTTCAGCTCAAGGCTAGCGCTCTACCACTTGAGCCACAGCACCACTTCCGGTTTTTTTCTTTTTGCTTATGTGGTGCTGAGGAATCGAACCCAGGGCCTCAGGCATGCAAGACAAGCGCTCTACCACTGAGCCACCTTCCCAGCCCCTCCCATTGACTTTTATCTTTACATAATTGGCAAAATGCTAGAAGTGGAGGTATGGCTCAAGTGGCAGAGCTTGGAAAGGCCCAGCAGGGAAACAAAAACAAAACAATGATGAAACCATGGAAATGTAACTCCTAGAAATGAACCAACAATCCTAAATGGAAAACAAATCAGAATCCCTCACAGTTAATAACTGATATTAAAATCCTTGGAAACATGAAGATAAGATAAATAGGATAAATAAAGTCTGATTCTATGCACAGCGTTGAGTAGCAGGTTAGCTTTCGACACTCTTGTGAAAAATTTCCTGGCAGATGCCATGATCTTCCTAGTGAACTCTCCTATGGCAGTGAACTGTGGTCAGGGTAACACATTCTATGTTATACAGGTAGAATTTTTAAAAAAAATTAATGGCCTTTGAGGACTAAGCTAAATTCCAAAACATACCAAAACTCTTTATTCTGTTCCTTCCCCCTACTTGAGAAAGAATCAAAGAATTTATAGTCCAAAGAACCCCAAAAGTTAGGTTTTTTCTGTGTACCTTTAAGGGATTCTCCCTCCCCTCTATACACAAAGATACAAATGAACGGCTCAGTTCCCCCACCCATGACCCTAAGGGTCAGAAGATCTAGGACCAAGCAAAGAGCACCTCTCATACATGAGCATGGTGATCTCCACCGCAAGCATCATCTTCAGCTGCCCCCTCTCGTTCTCTCGCTTTCCCATCTACTGTTCTCCTGAGCAGGCAGGACACCTCTGAAGAATGGGGACGACACCTCCCTGGCCTTGGTGAATGACTAGATGACAGAAGACCCTGGGGGCTTCCACCTCAGAGGCCATCACATCAGCCAGGCTCCTATCTTTGTGTGCTCTGAGATTTTAGGGAAGGGTTCTTAGGGCCAAACACTCGTTTCAGTCAATGGCTTACCCAAGTCTCCACCTCCTCCCTCCCCTACACCCTGCTTGGTGACATGGCAGGAGCCAGAGCCACAAAGCAGCCCTCTAAGACCCCCAGAGAGGAAGGAGAAGGCATCCTCTGCACAAACACTTCCCAACTCTGGACACAAAAACGGAAGCAACGCAGCGCACCTGCCTGCGCTCGTCAGCAGCTTTCAGGAAGAGTGCATTGATGACAGTGATGGTATAGGTTTGAATTTCCTGATCGGTTCTGCAAAATTAAAACGGCAAAAGAACTCAGATGAGGTGAGCCAGCCCAGAGGGAGGCCATAATAAACCTCATCATTACACAGAAACATGGCTCCTCCCACAGGGAGAAGAAAAGGGAGGATCCTCTGTAGACCTGTAGTGAGCACTGAGAGCAGACTTCCAGGACCCCTAAGCTGGAAACAACAGATGCACAACTGCTATGAGTGACCACTCAGTGCTGAGAGCAGTATATGTACAGGGTGAAACTCCTCTGAACAATTAACCGACAGTTTAATATCAGGAATACAAGGAAGCTAAGTAGAGAGAGGAAGGGTAGGTAAATACAGTCACAATTTTCAATGTACACTTATGAAGATGGACCCAGAAAACTTAAGGGGATGAGTGGGGCTGGGAGAGATGGAAGAGGTGACACAAACCAAGATGTTGCACACTCATAAATGGCCGGTTGAGGGCTGGGAAGGTGGCTCAGTGGTAGAGCACTTGCCTTGCATGCGAGAGGCCCTGGGTTCGATTCCTCAGCACCACATAAGCAAAAAGAAAAAAGCCGGAAGTGGCGCTGTGGCTGAAGTGGTAGAGCGCTAGCCTTGAGCTGAAGAGCTGAGGGACAGCGCCCAGGCCCAGAGTTCAGGCCCCACGACCGGACCCAAAAAAATAAAAATAAAAAAAATAAATTGGCAGGTTGAAATGAAACTCCTTCAAATAACTACAATAAAAGATTCCTAGTGAAGAGTTACAGTGTGGCTCAGTGGTAGACTGTTTAGAAGCCTAAAGCCTTAGTTCAGTTCTATCAAAAGACGGGGCGGGGGGAAGACTGCTTGAAAATGTCTAGCATAAAATTTCTAATGAATTCTGAAGGTGTTCATGATATTACAGAAAACATTATACAGTTAGGTCACCCTCGGTTAAGAACTTAGGAAAACAAATTGCTTTATGTCTTAAAAAGAAAAACTCTACTGATAGCCACAAAGACAGGTTAAAAGCCGAAGGTTTTCCCAGGGCAAGGGGCCATGGACAGAGCAATGCCAAGGACAGACAAAGCAGTCCTCAAGGATAAGAAGCCACCTTGCCATGTCAGTGTAAGGGGAGAGAGAGGTGCATGACTCACCATAAACCAAGGCTGCCAGGTGTGGTGACATACTATAATCCTGGCTACTCAGGAGGTAGAGATCAAGAGGACCAAGGTTTGTGGCCAACACAGACAAAAAGTTATCAACTCCTACATCTTAACAAATAAGCTGGGCTTGGTGGGTCATACCTATAACCCCGGCTAGGTAAGAAGAGGCCATAGGAAAGAAGATCACTGTCCAAGATCAGCCTGAGCAAAAATGCAAGACTTTATTGAAAACAAAAACAGATAAAGGAAAAATGGGCTGGGTATGGCTCAAGTGGTACAGTAAATACAACCGAAAAAAAAAAAAGGAAAGGGATATTTGTTTGTATATTTAGTAGAATAGTACAAAATAATTTGCAGACATCTCTGTGGCTGTCTGTGGGAAGCCCCTCTCCAAAGAGAACAGCTCCCTCCCCAGAGATAACAACCTCTCCCCAGGAGAGCAGCATGCTTACCCTTGAAGATGAGGAATGAGTTGGCCAATGGTGATCTCTTGTGCCACCTTCTGGTAGAGGTCATGGCTATTGAGCACCATGGACTCCAAAATGGCCAAGGACCACTGCAGGATTGAGATGTCCATGGCCGACTTGTTCACAAAACTTGCTATCTGAAAACCCAAGAAGTACATCATTGATGGCTCATAGAGTCAACAGGGAAAGGAGGAAGAAAATTAAGCACATCAGGAACTCAGCGAGGATATCTGATTCTAAGGATGGAGCATAATTCAAAGTAGCAAGAAATACACCCAGTCACCACTGAGATTGGTGACATCCTACCAAACACAAAGAAACCTCTCTTACAATCACTGATACCCAGACATTTCTTTACTGGGTATCTTCAAAGAATTATTCTGCCTGGTTTCCCCCAGACTATTGTGTTCTGAGTTTCAGCTTTCCAAGGCAGACAATTTTATCATGTACATTACATGGACTGGCGCATTTCTCTGAGGGGATAAATTCAGTGTAAAGCACGGCCATTCCTCTCCCCTCCCCAGGCTGCTCCTTCCTTCCTTCCTTCATTCCATCCACAACTCGTTATGTTCTGATACACATACAAATCACACCCATCAATGCAATTCAAATGGCAAGTTTTCAGCAGCTGGCTATTCCAAATTATAAAGATGAGAAAGTAGAGGAGGGGGAGGAAGTGGAGGAAGAGGGGGAAGAGGAGGAGGAGGAGGAAGAGGAGGAGGAGGAGGAGGAAGAGGAGGAGGAGGAGGAGGAGGAGGAGGAGGAGGAAGAGGAGGAGGAGGAGGAGGAGGAGGAGGAAGAAAAGAGGGAAGAAAACCTCTCCTTCTAGGGTTAAAAAAATTATCATCTCCCCGACAGGTAGCAAAAAGAAAACTCTTTAAATTAGCAGTGCTAAAAAAATGTAATAGTTTCAAGTTCTCAAATGCATTCCCTAAGGGGAAATCAATCCTTGAATCCCTAACTACAACCAACCACAATATAATAGGAAAGGAAAATAAGAGAAGGGTTACAATAATGGAGCAAGGCAGCCCAGACACATGGTTACCATAAAGGTTTTATTTTAAACATCTCATTAAGATTTACTACAATCTGTTAACAACCCACACTAAAAAGGCCATTATTGTATCAACATGATGGCTTTCTTAAAAGCTAAAATAATGATTTTGTGACAAGTAACCACTCCCTGAGTCCCACTTAAACACAAATTTATCCCCTTCTGTGGTCGGGTCAGGCCCTCCCCTCAGACTCCCTCCTTCCCTAAAGGGGTGAAATGCCAGTGTACACACACCATTCTAGCTACCATCCCATGTCTGCAGTCCACACCCTCCATATGGGAGCCAGAATGGGGGAACAGATCCAAACAGGAGCCTACCTCAGATCTCCACACCCCACCTGCCTCACTTCATTTATACCTCAGTAGGTAAGAAAGAATGAGGTGAAGAAAAACAGGAGTGTGCCTGGTTTCATGTTCCAAAAGGCAATCATTTTACTATAGGAACTGCAGGAAAGGCATGAGGATGTTAACAATCCTTAAACCACTGCTTTGGCTCTTCTCCTGCGAATGTGTTTATTGTTCCAGGCAGGTGTCAGCTCTGCTCCTCACATCTGCTGCAATTTAACAAGCTCTCTACAGGGCCTACCAAGGGAAGCCTACTGACAAAAATCCAATGGCCATCATGCTCTGCCCTGGGTTTTAATGTAAATTACATCTTTTCTAAGAAGAGTGTAAATGCCTGAATCCGCCCCCCCCCCCCGCCGCCTCCATTCATTTTCATTGTTCCAATGTAATTCTTTTTTAAAAAATAAATTTTTATGCCTCTACTGGAGCTTGAACTCAAGGTCTGGATGTTATCCTTCACTTTTTACTCAAGGCTGGTGCTCTATCATTTGAGGTACAGCTCCACTTCAGCTTTTTATTGGTTAATTGGAGAGAAGAGTCTCTTCTAACTGTGATCCTCAGATCTCAATCTCCTGAGTAGCTAACATTACAAGTGTGAGCGGCCAGGGCCCAACTTGTTCCAGTATAATTCCTGACTCTGGCATAAGGAAAGTGAAAAACCCACGAGAAAGTTCATTGATCGGAACTTCTTAACTTTCTCTCTACCAAGGGCTCTTCCTCATTGCTCGCTCCCTTCCTGCCTCTGTTTATAGAATCTGGATGTGACAAAAGTCCAGGGGTCTCACACGTGAGCACCTCTTGCTAATTTTATCAAGCCCCCACTACCAACTCCCAGCCCTCAGTGATAAGCATTCCTGGTTCCACACAGCAAGTCCTCCAGAGACACCAAGATGAGCAAGACCCACAGGTATTTCATTTAAAGCAGGGACAGATTAAAAAGCACTGACTATGAATTACTCGAAGTAAGCATTCTCAGTATCTAAATGGCTCCATTTGGTTATTCCAACAAGGCCAAAAATTAAATGGCATGAAAAAGTATCATTGTAGTCTTACTCTTCCCTTCCTAACTGCCACACTTTTTCAAGTATCCATACTCATTAAGTGCTTAATATCCTCAGTAACATGAGAATGCATTTGAGATATTTTTCTTTGGGGCACAAATTCAGTGGATGTAGTCGTTGGAATCTTTTCTGTAGAGTGATTGCTGGACACAAGCACCACCATGTTAAGAATAGCTGCTACCAACTCACAAGAAGCTATTTTAACTATGCCACTTCCCTTGTTTTCCTCACAACTTCTGGCTTCAGTCAGGAGTCCTGGTCTCAGTTGATGGCTCAGATAAACTTTTAACCCTTTGCAAACTAATCATTCATTCAAGATTGTGACACTAAGTTCTGACCAAATGAACAAGGATTGTCATACAGTAGAGATAAGACAGCTGCGCAGATATCCCGCCACTTGCTTACTTGGCATCCTGTCAGCATCATGACCTTCTGTGGAAGAAAAACCTCGCTGAATTCCTTTTGAGCAGGTGTCCTGATTCCTGTGTGGTACTCTAATATCCTGAGATATTTCCAACGGTACATACATACAACATGGGCCCTCCAGTCCATTGCATCCTTGGGTTCCTAAAACACCATCTTTTCAGTTTCCTCTCTGCTCAACTGTTCACCTCACCAAAAAGAGCTGTGTATGGTGATGTACCCATATGATCCCAGCTACAATGGCTGCATAGGTAGCAGGATCTCACCTTGTGAGCCAAGGTAAGCCCTGGGCAAAAATGGAAGACCTTAGCTGGTTGAGTAGCTAAGTGGTAGAGCGACCTGCCTGGAAAATAGGAGGTCCTGAGTTGAAACCCTAGCACTGCCAAGACAAAGAAAGAACAAAAAAGTGCTAGGCCCTGTCTAAAACACAATGAACAGGGAAAAGGGGACTGGGGACATGGTTCCAGTAGTAATGCGCCTGCCTAGCAAATGTGAGACCCTGAGTTCAAAACCAGTACCACCAACCACAAGCAAAACAAAGTAATCCCGAAATCAGAGAATTACTTAGGCAAGTTTTCAGAAGCTGAGGAAGTAGATCTCAAAATTCTCATACATTATCAAGGCAGAAGAGAACCATGGGGCTGCATGGTTGATTTTAAATCATCTGGCTGAGGTTCATAAATCTCTCCACGTTTTAGAAGACAAAATACTGAAGCCCAATGGCTAAATGTTGTCTAGGCAGTGAAATCATCTGATCTTCCCAGCAAGCCAGAGCCTCCTCAAAACAAAGGCCTCAGGGGAATACGTAGGAAACTTCCCTTCCAAGAGAAGGTACTAGGGCCATGCTTGGCTAGAGGAAAATCAACTCAGAACACAGGAAGTCTTCTTTCTTTTCTCTTCAGGCCTTCCTTCTTCTAAGTAGCCAAGTCATTAAAAAGCAACTCCATAGCAGGGTGCCAGTTGCTCACTCTTACAATCCTAACTATTCAGGAGGCTGAGATTTGAGGATCATAGTTTAGAGCTAGCCCTAGCAGGAAAGTCTGTGAGACTCTTATCTCTACTAAACTACCAGAGAAAGAAAAAGAAAAAGAAAAGAAGGAAGGAAGGAAGGAAGAAGAAGGAAGAAGGAAGGAAGGAAGGAAAAGAAAGAAAGAGAGAAAGAAAGAAAGAGAGAAAGAAAGAAAGAAAGAAAGAAAGAAAGAAAGAAAGAAAGAAAGAAAGAAAGAAAGAAAGAAAGAAAGAAAGAAAGATGAGGAAGGAAGGAAAGAAGGAAGGAGGGAGGGAGGACAGAAAGACAGAGAAAGAAAGAAAGAAAGAAAGGATTGAAGGAAGGAAGGAAGGAAGGAAGGAAGGAAGGAAGGAAGGAAGGAAGGAAGGAAGGAAGGAAGAAAGAAAGTAAATAGGGAGGGAAGGAGGGAGGGAGGGAGGGAGGGAGGGAGGGAGGGAGGGAGGCAGGCAGGCAGGCAGGCTGGCTGGCTGGAAGTGGAGCTGTGGCTCAAGTGGTAGAATGCTAGCCTTGAGGGAAAAAACCTTAGGGACAGAGCCCAGGCTCTGAATTTAGGCCCCAGGACTAGCGCAGAAAACAACAACAACAAAACAAAACAAAAAAAAGCTACAATATAGTAGCATCAAGGGCTTCCATGTTCCATGGCATTTAGGAAATGGTGTTAGTTCTTGCAGCTACAATTTGTAAACTCAAATCTAAATGCACACATAACAAAGAGAACAGACATGGAGAGAGGGCTGGCAAGGAGAACAATATTTCTCCAAAGTACTCTGAACTTGGCATTGATCAGAAGCCAACTCAAGATCACAGAGAGAAGCACCTTTTGTCAGTGCTTTTCCTAATTATTTTTGTCAAGATAAAGCTCCATTTAAAACATAGAGGCCAGCACAAATCTGGGGCTGTCAGGATGCTGAATACGGTCCAGCTAATGAATAAAAAGTGAACCTTACCCAAAAACTGTAAGTAATTTTCTAGTGACTAATTTTCAAAGTCATATAAGAGACTTTTTTGGAAGTGGCAAGGCAAAGGAAATGAGGAAACAGGAACAAGTTGCTTTTAAAAAAATATCCAATTTTTAAATTTAGTTTGCTTCCTGAGAATTAAAGTGGGTTTCTGAAAATTTCACTTCAGTAAAGGCAAACCATTTTCATTAGAAAATGGAACAGCTGCCATGCTCTCCCATCATTTGAAGAAACCCAGCTCTCAAGTGAAGTTTTTGACTTGACACATTCCCATCTCTGCCCATTCTTCTACCTGATTCCTTTGGAAAGAAGAGCCAGTCAAAAACGCCCCTCAGTAGTTGAATGGATCAAGAAAATGTGGTATATATACACAATGGAATTCTATCCCTCCATCAGAAAGAATGACATCGCCCCATTTGTTAGGGAAAGACTTGGAAAAAATTATATTAAGAAGTAAGCCAGCCCCAAAGAAACATAGGTCCCAAGGTTTCCCTTATTTGCAATAACTAGTATATGTCTGGGACAAGCAGAAAAGGTCAGAAAAGATGATGTTAAGCAAAATGAACCCAAAGATAGGGACACAAGTGGTTTTTTTCTTCCTTGCTAGTGTTTCTAACGTATTTATAAGGTACCATATGATTTTTTTTTGTTGCTTTGTATGTCCCTCCCCCATGGTCTAACTTCTGTTTTCACTGTATTTGGTGTTGGTATAATTTGGGGAGGGAAGGGGAAAAAACAAATTGTTTAAATAGGGATACAGATTGACCCCTTGCAACAATGAGATGTACAAGACGCTATGTCGAAAAACAAACTACAATTTACGCTGAGGAGGTGGGAGGGAAGGGATGGTAGGGGAAAAACAAAGGAGGCGGCAACAATGCTGGATAAGAAATGTACTCATTACCTTGCTCATGTAACTATAACCCCTTTGTACAGTATTTTCACAATAAAAAAAACTGTAAAAAGAAAAAGAAAACTTGCCAGTCTGGCACAGACATGAAGTGCCTTACATTCTTTCTGAAGTCAATGTATACTCAAGAAAAATGCTAATTGTTATCATTAGGAATAAAGTTTATCTTAAATGAGGGGGGAAAAAAGTGGTTAATACCTGAAATCTTTCTTACACCAAGACCATGAGTCAGCAGGAAGGACCCTACCTAAGACACCTGAACCAGACCCTCAGCCTCCTCAGTTCCTCATTAAGCCCATGAGTGCTGGACATCAGCTTCCTTTGCCTCTTTCCCTGTTGCTGAGCATGGGGTTGGGGATGGATAGTGAAGATGGCAGCTCGGCCAAGGTCTTGAGTTCTGAAGCCATGCGTAGCGCATCCGAAGACACTGTGTCCTTAGCAACAACACAGTTTCCCTTAACTCTGGGTTCTCATCCACACAACATTTTATGTTCTCTGCAGGGACAAAAGGTCACTTTCACCCAGAATGTTCAGAGCCCCACATTTATAGGCCTAGTTAAAACACACCGATGCACACACTCACCCCTATCTTTTAACATAACCCAAGGAAACAATGATAAAATAATCCTCAAAGCAGAGAATGGTACCCGTGAAAGGAGGGAGTGATGGGAGCCTAGGAAAGCAGTTTGCATTTACCTTCTTAATGAACGCCACCGAAAACGTGTCCCAAGACACGATGCCATGATCCATGAGCTCTTCAAAGGCCATCAACGTGAAGGACAGCATGTCCCCAAAGCTGTAAAACATAGGGGGGGGGGACACAGAGTCGATGCTGGGCAGTGGGGAAAGTGCACAAGTGAGCCAGCTTTAGGAAGCAGACCTAGACTGCTGGACAAGCAGCTGGGCAGTCAGACCCACTCCACTGGACAGCAGCTGGGCAGAGTCAACAGCTCAAGTGCCAGGCTGGCAACAAACAGGACAGGAAGGGACAGGTGCTTGCCGCCAGCCAGGGAGCTGAGAAACACGGAGCAATTCACTTGCCCTCTCTGAGCCTCTGTGCTCTCAGCTAGGAAGTAAATAATGGCAAGTCTTTAGGTAGCACACTCAATAAAGTTGGTAGCATATCAGTATTCAGTAAGGAGCATCTCAGTCAGTGAAAGTTCCTAAATGCTCCCTTTATAAGCCAGAAGAATCAAGAGGGATAATCCAAAATGACTCAATTAGCATAACAGCCCTTAGGTAAGGATTCAGAGCCTCTGTATTTAACTTTAACAAAAATGGCGTAAGCATGATAAATAAGCATATTCACCTTGATGTTACAATGGCCAGCATCCTGTCCTGAGTTAATGGGTTTCAGGGACTATCTATGATGATTGTATTATGATTCCATATACTGGGTTTGCTGATCCCTTCATTCATTAGGGGGGTCTGATATGTGGTTTATAGATTCAGAGCAATTAGGGGATGCTATGGTCTGTGTAAATCACAAAGTCCTGCGTGTTCAAGGTGCAGCTCTGGTGAGAGGCAATGGAAACTGTAGGAGGTGGGGCCTAGTAGGAAATCTTTAGGTCACTGGGGGTGCGTCCTTGCATAGGTCTTAGAATCACTCTTTTTATCTTTCTGGCCATGGAGTAAGGGCTTTCAGTCCATCATAATGAGCTGCCTCACACAAAGCAACAGGGCCAGCCCATCATAGGCTAACACCTCTAAAATGTGAGCCACAATAAATCACCTCTGGTTGTAAGTTAACCTAGTCATGTACTGACTATAGTAATGGAAAGTTGCCTATGACCAGAGGGTGGGGAGGCAGGGGAGGGGATGTTGAGGAGGAAGAAGAGCCATCTTTGTAAAATACTTTCCTCAGAGGTTCATCCTAGGTTCTTACAATTTCAAAAACATTCTTAGTCATTTATACATCTCAGAAATTTTCACTCTTATCATAAATTTTCATCATCATCATCATCATCATCATCATCATCTATAGTAACTCCAAACCATCAAGAAACTCTCTACCAGCAGATAGAATTATAGGATTTCTATACTACATTATACAATAATACAGATTCCTACACTCAGTTACTTTTTTTTGTTGTTGTTGTTGGTCATGGGGCTTGAACTCTGGGCTTGGGCGTTGTCCCTCAGCTCTTCAGCTCAAGGCGAGCGCTCTACCACTTGAGCTACAGCGCCACTTCTGATTTTCTAGTGGTTTATTGGAGATAGGAGTCTCATGGTCTTTCCTGCCCTGGCTGGCTTTGAACTGCAATCCTCAGATCTCAGCCTCCTGAGTAGCTAGAATTACAAGCATGAGCCACTGGTGCCCAGCAGTTACTTGTTTTTTAATGAAGCTGGACATTACAATATTTTTTTGGGGGGGAGGTCCGATCGTGGGGCCTGAATCCTGGGCCTGGGTGCTGTCCCTCAGCACTTCAGCTCAAGGCTAGCACTCTACCACTTGAGCCACAGTGCCACTTCCGGCTTTTTTCTTTTTGCTTATGTGGTGCTAAGAATCGAACCCAGGCCTCAGGCATGCAAGGCAAGTGCTCTACCACTGAGCCACCTTCCCAGCCTGGTCATTACAATTTTTAATCTAGAGGATCAGACATCCCATTATTGCTATATCACAAAGTCTGCTAACAGATTCAGATTTGGATTTAGGTTTATATTTCTTTTAAAAAATAGCTTCACAGTATTCCTTCCTGCTATTCTTCTACTCAGCCCAGTCTCAAAATAAAATGATTTTTGAAATTCTGTTCTATTTCAAAGGTCGTGATACTGGCAGAAGCCCATCCAAGGGGAGATGACTCTCAGAGGAGGACCGTGATTCAGAGACCAGAGGGGAGGATACACACTGGACAGACATGGCTATGTGGTGATCTCTGGAGCCACACATAGGGGCCCCCACATCAAGCTCTAAGTGAATTCTCCAACACTACAGTCTCCCCATTCATGAGGATGATGATCGTGGTGGTGAGGACAATAGTGATCTTCATTCAGAGAGAAGAAGACTGGAGAAAAAAATGAGCTAGCCTAGTCCTGGGATCAGGAACAGTATGTGGCAAGTGCTAAGTTAACAGCCATGTGCCTATTACCTGAGACAGCGGCATAATAGTAGCATTGTGGACGCAGGAAGCTCCTGGTTTTCAAACGTTTTGCCATCAATGTGGAAAAAGTCGAGAGGGAGAAAACATACAAGGGAGAAAAGTACATGGAAAAGCCAGATGGAAAAACCAGATGGAAAAGCAGCCTATGTCTCTGGCTTCCTGCACACAGGCAGTCCCAATCTCACAGGGGCCCTAGGTGGCACCAGAGGCCAGGCCTCAAAGACAAGCTCCCAACAGGAAACTAAAATGACGGAGAGAACAAATAACTAGACAGCAAGGTGGATGACGACTCAAAACAGTAGCAAGACAGGTTAAATAAAAGTTCCAGGATAATTCACTCTACAAAGGATGAGTTATAAGAGAACAAGTGTTAGAGTGCAAAAATAACAGAAACTGCCTTAGGAAAAATAAGATAAATGCAATTAGTAAGATGTATGAATAGAAACTGGGCAGGAGTCAGTATTACAGTACTGTGAAAACATTATGTAATAATTATTATGTAATAATGTATTAGTAGCAATAAATACTTTGTTAACTTACACACGAAGAGAAAAACAATCACATAATAATGAATAGTTGGCATTTGCTCAAATCTGACATAATAAGATTCGAAATGCTACAGGTTCTTCACATACCTGCCACAGACTCCACTCAGACCAAGATCTTTGCCTTGGTGTCAGCGGTTAAAGACAGCAGTTAGAGAACCAGGAGAGAACAGAAAGAAAAGGAATGAGCCCACAACTGGGCTCAAGCTGGTCTTCTGTTTTGTTTCATTGACAGCACTGGGGTTTGAGCACAGGGCTTTGCACTCATTCAGCTGGCGCTCCACCATTTGAGCCACATACCTAGCCCTTTATGCTATAGTCATGTTTCAAACAGGGTCTCACATTTATGCCCAGGCTGGCTTGGATGACAAACTTTCTGTTCATGTTTCCCATTGTACCTTGGATGACATCACCATACCCAGGTTTTCATTGGCTAAAAAGGAGTACAGAGAACTTTTTGACCACAGGAGCTCCCAAAAATCACAATCCTCCCGATTTCATCCTCTTGAGTAGCTCCGATTACAGACATGAGCTACTGTGCCTGGCTCAAATGCTTCTTGACATTCCCAGTTAGCCACCTGGCCTGGGAATACAAATAAACTTGGGTCTAGATATTAGTCTTCCGTAGCTACTTTAAGAGCAAATGTCTTCCCTCTAATTATCTGAAAGCAAATGTCTCTACTTCTTACCTACCTGCTCAATGAAAGGCTAATCTAAATGGCCAGAAGGAGCCCATCTGAGGACAATCAATCTGCCCTAAAGAAATCCAGTTTGTCTATAGACTCTCTAGGCAGGCTTTAAGGACCTTTGCGGGTAGGATGGAAAGTAGGAAGAACCTCATGTGTTTTCCAGATCTCCAAGTGGTGTTAGGGATCAGGATACCCTCTCGATGGCTATCAAGGAAGTGAAACACTGTTTCAGAGATGGCAGGTAAGGCTCTCCATACTTACAGTGGTCCATTTCTGTGAGTGATTAACAAGTGGGAGAAAGGGCATTTCATGTCACTCACCCACTGAGGAGGTCACAGGAAGTGACCTGGTCCACTCAGTAATGTGAGAGATAGACAGACAGACGGGACATATTGACGATAGAAGACAGAGACAGAGAAAGAATTGATCCAAGATAGAAATGATAGAAAATAGATTTGTAGATGATAAAAGAGAGATGTTACATAGATACGTAGATGATAGGTATACATAAATGATAACTAGAATTATATGACCTCCTATAAACTACATACATATGCATATAAGACACAAAATACATTCAATATAAAAATATGTAAAATGTTCATATACTACATAACAAAATGCATAATACACATATGTGTGATAGAACATTATATAATACACTGTATGTAGTTCTCTATATTAAACATCTATTTCCCTGGAATAAGTTATGTTTTTCCTGAGGAAGAGCTTTTCAGACTTCAACTTCAAGCCGTCAGCAACAAGAAAAGGAGGGCATGTTCAAATATGGTTACATTTCAAAAGAAAGGCCCTTTTTCAAATAAGGTGGCTGGAAGAGCTGTCCTGGAACCCTCACATCGGGGTATTCATCTCCACTTCCAGAGAGGAGAGATTCAGACTCCCAGGAGAGAAGGCAGAAGCCAGCTTCCGACCTCCACACTCCATCTGTATAGGACACCATGCTTGGAAAGCACTATAAAAGAAAAGCAAGCGCTTGGCACATTCTGGAACATTTTTATTTCCTGGGTTTATTTGTTTTTATTATGTGCTAGGCTAAAGACTTTTACAGTAGTGACTGCCACAAAGGGAAGCGTCTGCAAACTACATACCGGGCCACCGTCTCTGTCACAGCCAGCCGCACACCATGTGTGCTGCAATGACTCAATGAAATGTTTCTCAACTTACTAGGGATCATCTTCCTTCCAGAAAAATCCAGCCAGTCTCAAAACAAGCATCTAAATTTATGCTGCCAACTTTTTCAGAGCAGAGTGCATCCCAATGTTTCCATGGAATGATGTACCCAATACAGACTGGAGAAAAGAAAGGAAAGGCAACTTTTATAGCTATCCTACAGGCTCATGCCCGTAATCCTAGCTACTCACTAAGCTGAGATATGAGGATCATGGTTCAAAGCCAGCCCTGGCAGACAAATCTATGAGACTTTTATCCCCAATTAACAAATAAAAAGCTAGAAATGAAGGTGTGCCTCAAGCGGTGAAGTACTAGCTATGAGCAAGGAAGCTAAGCAACAGCATAAGGTCCTAAGTTCAAACTCAAGTAGCAACACAAAAGAAGGAGGAAGAGCAGATGGAAGAGGAGAATTATCAGGAGTGGAATCAGCACACAAGTGATCTAGAACAAATATTTTTCAATCTATGCATCAGTCTCAAATACTTTTTAGATGTAGTGCTTTTCCTTCTTTCTGAGTCACTGATAAAAACCAAAGCCTTCAAACTCTGAACATCACATAAGCCACAAAAGAAGAAAGCTCGGCTTAAAGTCATATACAAAACTCTACCCAGAAGTGCTATAGGGGAAGGGAAGAGGGAGGAAGGTCTGTGGAATCATTTAGTGGTAACCAACAATAAATACTCTCTGCCACAAGGGAAAAAAACAAACAAACAAGGAAGTAGATTCATTAAAAAAAAAAAACTGTTTTAAAAACATCGAACAAAAAGGAAAAAAGTAACTTACTCAAAATATGTAGATGCATAGTTATAAAGTAAGCCAGAGGACAGGTTTTAATTATGCAGACAGGAAAAAAGGAAGTATTAAGATTATAACATAATTTAATCATAGATTCTTACCAAGGCTTCATAATCTTCTGCAATTTCTGGTATTGGCTGTAAAATTTAAAAACAACCATGAGGAACATGTTTAAAAGCAGTGATAGTCAATTCATACAAACAATGTATCTGGAAGAAAACTCAGGATTAGAACCAGGAGGGCCAAACTGCTCCTCAGCCACTCAGTGCATTTCAATACATCATTCAAAGGGATAAATGGACATTAAATCATGATAGGAAGCAACAAAAACACAAGGAACAAACTAATTACTTACACCAGCCATCACATTTACTTACAAGTAGCTCTATTTGAACCAATATGGGTTCATGGTTGATGAGGAGAAACCCCCATGGGTAATAAGAAGTCCAAAGGAACAGGACTTAAAACAATGACTGAGTAGCTTTCTCTTGTAATATGCCAGCTGACTGTCTTGGTCTTGTAAGAGAAGGCCCTGCAGTTTGCTAAAATACCTGTTGTACTTATGTGCCACAAATAGGACATAGTGGAAGAGAAATAATCTGAACCCACAGGTACTAGTGAAAGTCTAGCCAAAGATATAATATGGGTCCAGTTATGAGAAAATGATACAAACCAGTAGGAAGATGTGTATGTTTCAATGGCAAAACTGCAGTATCTGTAACATACCCTCCTGGGTCATCAGATTCTAGTCCCACTGTCTTTGAGCTGTTTTACAATGTATAGGTAGGTAGATGGCAGGCAGGTAGGCAGGCAAGCAGGCAGAAGATGGGAGGAAGGGAGGAAGGGAGGAAGGGAGGAAGGGAGGAAGGAAGGAAGTCAGAGAGGAAGGGAGGGAGGGAGGGAAATAAAAGAATGGATGGTGGATGGATGAACAGATGGATGGGCAAATAAATGATGGATAGGCAATGGAAAAAAGGAAAGGAAGGAAAGGAAAGAAGGAAAGAAGGAAGGAAGGAAGGAAGGAATCAATCAATCCCTGGCTCCATCCATCCCCTCTGAAAGTGATTTAATTGGCTTCTGCCTGATGATAGAAAACCAGTTTGGCCTCCAATTGCAATTCACCTCCATCTTCTTTCCTCCATATATAACTTGTAGTCTTTTGATTTTTTTCTTGAAACGATTATAACTTCTGCCTAGTTCTCTCATTTCAAATAGCTAAATTCTTTTATCACCTGTTCATATGTGTATCTGTATTTTCTCTGGAAATAATCTTTAACAAATTATCTTTTAATAAACCCAGTTGAAAGATGGTCTACTTGCCTGGCACCAATGGCTCATGCCTGTAATCCTAGATACTCAGGAGGCTGAGATATGAGGAATATGGGCCAAAGCCACTCAGAAATGGCACTGTGGCTAAAGTGGAAAAGAGCTAGCCTTGAACAAAAAATTAAATAAAGTTCAAGGATAGCATCCAGGCCCTGAGTTCAAACCCCACAATTGTCACCAAATAGACAGACAGACAGACAGACAGACAGACAGACAGACAGACAATCTACTAAACTGCTAACTTAGAGAGTCTTAAAAAAATGTCCAAGTCATCCAAGAAAGAACAACTATGAAAGCGTTTCAGACTGGGAGACTGAACTATTGGGGGGAGTTAGACCATAAGATGCACCCAGGACAACTTGTACAACTTGAGTGGGGACTAGAGGCATGCCTCAAGTGGTAGAACACCAGCCTGTGAGTGAAAACTTGAGTGGAATCTGCAGGTGAAAGACACCTTGCGGTTCCCCACTCTGTTCCTGTGAATTTTCCTTAGGTTTGAAACTTCCGTTCCCACACATGATATCAAGCCAGGATTGCAAAGATATGCTCTGGCTTGAGACCAGAGCATGCATGGGGTTCTATGTGTTCATGTCCTCTGGAGACCAGTGCAGAGAGCAAACCACCTGACTGTGGGCAGGCAAGCCTAGGGAAAGAACGCTGAAGCCAACACCCTCTCTAGTCATGCCCCACTCCTACCTCTTTCCAAGCCCCTACTATGGCAGTTTAATCTTGAGGGTGATTAGTGCTCAGTTGATAGCTGGGATTTTTCCCTAGTGGTAGGGAAACCTTCGGCCAGTTCCAACCAAGATGAAGCCACCTGCACAGCAGATCCTTGTGCATCCTTAGCCTGACCTTTGCCCAACAAACTCCTATGCAGGGCTTCTTGCACATGCCCTGCATCTTAGACATGTGCTTAAAACTACGGGATGACAGCTGTGTGCATGTGCAGATCCCATTGACCAGTGTGGTGAGTCACTGTTGCTCATTTCCCTAAGATCAGCCCACTGTACATACAGAGAATTCCCGGACACTCTCCAAATCCTGGAAAGCTAAGCACATGTTTCCTCTTAAAGGAGCACAGAATACAAGCCTGCTTGCTATTTCCCTCAATGCTGTGTTTTCTGTATTACATTCTTCCTTGCTCTGCAACTTTTACTTATGTGTGTTTGTGTGCACTGCACACATGTGGGCATGTCCATGCAACATGTGTCATTCAATTCTTTGTTTTAGACACCAAGAATCACTCCGGGATTTTCACCTCTCCCCCTCCCCCAATAACATGTTTTCCCACATTCCCAAAAGCTACATGCTTGCTGTGACTTCAGAAAAAGTTCTGTTGTGGCATGTGTTCCCTCTCCCTCCCTCTGTCTCTTTCCAAGTACAGTTTATGTTTTTAAGAAAACAAAGAAATGTGAGCAGAAAATCTGCAGCTGGTAGAAAGGCTAAGGTTTCCCAGAGGTCAAAAATCTCTTGCTCCAGCCTGAGGAATGAATGCCACTGTTCCTCTTTCAACAGCAAAGGTTAGCCAGGGAGGGGTTGCCCTATAAAGGGATTTTCTGGGGACTTCCACAAAGCCTGCCTAGGCCGGCCTCTTGGGCCTTTGTGATGGAAATTCCTGGCTGGGCCCCAGAGAGGCAGAGAGGGGCAACTCCAATCAGGACTACCCCATGCTTTACCCCTAGCAAACTAGCACCCCAGCAGAGGGAGCTAGAAAGATGCTGCAACCTCACAGCTAGGGCAGAACACAGGACCACAGAAGCATCTTCTGGCTCAGTCTGGGGTTTGCTGGCGCTGGTCATGGCCTCTTTAAGAAATGCAACACCTGCCTGGTGAGTCAGGCTTTGCTGCTAAATAGTAGACAGAGCCACTTAACCCATCCTGGACCTCCCAGAACAGATGCATCCTCTGAGAAACAGTGATTTCCATGAAAACTGACAGTGGCTTGCAAAAATGTGCCAACCAAAGCCAAGCCTACTGTCACACACATCTTGGGGTTCTCTCCCCCTCTCCATCCCCCCCCACCCCCATCCCTCCTGCCTGTGCCAGGCCTAATTCAAGGTCAGAGATAAAATTTGGTACTCAAAGAATATACACTTGGCTCCAATCCCATTCTCAAAGGTAAGGGCCAAGACACTTGAGGGCACACCAAAGTTCAATGCATGGGAATGAAGGTAGTTTTCATACATACCTGGTGTGAAAGACAACTGGAATAATAAAAGTTTAATCTGAGACTCTTTTTAAAAATCAATATCAATAGAAATAAGCACTAATATATACTGTCTTGTATTCTTTATATGTCTGTGGATGTGATGTGTGTGTGTGTGTGTGTGTGTGTGTGTGTGTCCTAGGACTTGAACTCAGGGCCTGTACCATCCCTGAGCTTTTGTGCCCAGGGCTAGTTTTCTACCACTTGAGTCTCAGCTCCGCTTCCAACTTTTTGATGGTAAACTGGAGATGAGTCTTACAACTTTCCTGCCCAGGCTGGCTTTGAACTATGATCCTCAGATCCCAGCCTCCTGAGTTACTAAGATTACAGGCCTGTGCCACTCGCACCTGCCTAGCGTAATGTTTTTTGGTTTGTTTTTTAAGTTTTAAAATGTATATCCTTCTGAGTACGCAATCCATTTTTCAAAATAATTCTACTAGTCACTAGCTTTTAGTTAAAGCAGATTAGAGGGCTGGGAATGTGGCTCAGTGGTAGAGTGCTTGCCTAGCATTCATGAAGCCCTGGGCTCAATTCCTCAGTACCACATACACAGAAAAGGCTGGAAGTGGTAATGTGGCTTAAGTGGTAGAGTATTAGCCTTGAGCAAAAGAAGTTCAGGGACAGTGCCCAAGCCCCATGACTAAAAACAACAACAAAAAAGATAGTTATAGTACTGAAAAAGCAGATTAGAAAATCTTTCAAAAAATAACAATATAAAATGTCCTATAATAAGGTAAGGGCTAATTACAGTGTCTATATCCTTCAAATTATTATATTGTGAATCCCTTGTATGTCAGTAAAGCTGTAAAGATACATAGCTGTGATCATATACAGGTATAGTCATACACAGCTCTAAACCATCCACAGGTAATAAAAACAATGGTAGGAATATTTAATCACATAGAACTTTTGGTGGGTACAAAAAAAGCAAGTTATAAAGAGAATGAATATTACACTTCTACTTTTGTACATCTTGTGTACATTTAAAGTCATAAAAAATTGGGTGCTCATAGCTATAATCCTAGCTACTCAAGAGGCTGATAGTTGATGATCTCGGTTCCAAGTGGAGGTGTGACTTCAGTAACTAGAAAATGTTAGCCTTAGGCAAAAAGAAAAAAAAAATCCAAGCAAGAGCACAAGGCCCTGAGTTTAAGCCCCATTATCAGTACAAAAGTAAAATAAAATAGAAAATACACTCACACAAACACACACACACACACACACACACACACACACACGACCTTACAGGTGGCTGTGGGGAGAGCACAGATGACAAAGAATTCCTGTGTTTGATGCTTCCTGTCTGTTTTCCTGAAGGAACGATGGTTTCTTTAAAAGGACTGTGAGCTCTTTGGAAACAGGGATTTTGCTTTTGCCAATCTGGCTGCAGGGCTGAATCATTTTCCAGTGGTGTTATTTTCTTGACACAGAGCCAACTGGAAAGGGAACTAAGTGACTGTCCTTTGTTCTAGGAGACTTCCTTGCTCTGGGTCCCAGGGATAATAAACTGACAATTCAACAGTAGAAGGATTCAGAGGAAGCAGCCCAATTGTCTGTGTGTGGGAGCTCAGAAACCCACAGGGCTGTGTTAAAAGCCACACAAGA